CAACTCTAGGTAGCAGCACAACGTCAGCAGGTGAAGGGCCAGAGAGAAACCAAAGAAACCCAGGAAAAGCCGGCAACTGTTCCCTTCGCCTGCCCGGGCAGGGGCCCCGCGACAGCCACAGCCCTGGTTTCCCCGCTCGCGCAGCGGTTCCCTGCGCTCTACCTCTGGGTAGCCCATGGCCTCTGGAGACACACACTCTCTGAGGCCCGGGAGCCGTCGCGTCTGCCTCAGCTGTTCACGACCCCTGACAGGCAGCTACCGTCCTGCCATCGGCTGGGGGCTGCAGGATCCTTTCCTGTGCGACGCTGGCTGGGAGGGACAGAGCAAGGAGCAGCCGCATGTGCAGCTTCACTCCTAGGGGTGGGAAAGAGAGGAGGAGGGGCAGGAGAGAGGGGCGGCTCAGCCCGCCGAAGGAGTCAGGGAGGAGGCCCTGGCCGACCCCGCCCCATCCCTCAAGCGGCTGCCTAGACGCCCAACCACCCGTCCCGCCAAGTCTGGGTGCCCCGCCCCCTGGCGTTCCACCCGCGCTTCAAACCGCCGGGCGGGGCCTGGGGGCGTGTGAGTTCCCCTCTGCCTGGCAGCCCCGCCCGGCTCTTCCCGCTTTCCTGGTACCAGTAGGTGACTGCCGCTGTCGTTCATCCCTGGACTCCGCCTCTATTTAACCCTTTAGCGCCAGTACGGGGAAGAAAAAGGGAGGGGGAGGCTGAGAAGAATTTGGGAATTTAGGGGGGAAAAAAGGAGGCAGAAACTAGTATTAATAGAAATGCTTGCAATTAACTAAAGTTGTTAATAGCATCATTCAGCACTTATCTGTTACTTTCAAACTTCAAAGCGTTTAACAGACGTTAAGCTAATTAAAACAGTTCTGGGTTTGGAATGAAACCTTGCCTGCTGTGTTTGTAATCCAATGGCGTGCCAGAACTAAAGGAGACCAAAAGCCTGGCAGCCAAAAGGGAGTGAGAATGGGGTGTGACTCAGGCAGCCTCCCTCCAGTACTGAGTCTGGGGCTTCAATCTAAGCGCCAGGAGGGACTGAAGTGATGTCCCCTGAAGGTTAAACTAGTTCCCTAAGATTTCTTAGGAGCTCTGGTAGCCCAGTGCCTAAGGCATTTGACTGCTAACCAGAAGGCTGACTGTTCAAACCCACCAGCCAATCCTCAGAAGGAAGGTTGGGCAATCTACTTCCCTAGTGATACTACCTTTAGAGGGGTCAGATATGACTCCATGACAGTGGGTGGTTGGGTTAAGATTTCTTATATATTAATTAATTCAGAAAATATGTATTGATCCCTTTACTATGTAGACAGTGCTGTAGTTTCTCTTCCTCCATTGCAGCAGGAGTTTTCAGTGGAGAACATGATTTCAAAGAGCAGAAGGGGAAACTGAGAAGCCAGACTTAAGTTGATTTTTACAAGGATGGTCCACAGAATGGTCAGACACTCTTGGCATCTGTATCTGCAGGCAACTATTCTGGCCTCTCCACCCCTCCTCTCCTTCCCCTGGAGTTGTTCTAGGGGAAGTTCAACAAGTCAGCCAAATGTTCCAGATGTACACTGCTGCAACTGCAGCATCTTTAACAGCTGCACCAATCAGAAAAGGGTTCAGAGCAACGACAACAACAACAAAAAAAAGTGGCAGATCTCAGAACAATAGATCCTGATACGAAGGTTGTAAAGAATTAGTTAAATCAAAAGTCACAATTAACAAGAGTTAGTCTGAAATGACAGAGAGCTAAATGACTGTAGCGGAAAAATATGTATGTATGCTTCTTAGTCACCATGCACTCCCATTCCCATGTCATTAATTTGAGAAATGAGTAATTAGCAGTTTCATTAATGCGACGAAGGCATCGTGAGTACCACCAAAGAGGTTCAGCAATGCCCAGGAGTGCTAATGGGAAGACCTATGACTTAGACTGGTAGGAGAAATAATAATAATAATAGAGGTTAAAAAAAAAGAGAGAGAAGACAAAAAGAAAATGACAAAATAAAAACAAAAGCATCTTGTGGGAGGTCAGTCCAGAGAGTACAGAGGCCATAGGCCTTGAGTATATTAGCCAAAGCCAACTTTTCTTCTACATACTTTGTGAATGGTTTCAGTGCTTCAATCACATATTTGTGTCCTCTCATTAACCCTAAGCCATGAAATATAAAGCTTTCAAATAATATAATTATACAGATAAGGAAAAAAAAGGCATTTAACAGCTGCTCCCAAGTCCTGCTTGTCCAGTTCAGGAAATCCAGCTGCTAGGGAAATTGCCAGACTGATTTACCTTAATTATCACAGGACAGGATTATTGGAAAGACCGTTAAACTAGGAGTCAGGAGATCTAGCATTGCCACTAATTTTCAAGTCACTGCTTTTTTGTACCTTAGTTTCTTCAATTGTAAAATGAGGATTTTGAACTTTAACAACTATAATGTTGTGTTTTATTTGTGTTATAACTGAGTATATTGACTTGGTTGTATAACAATTCATAAAGAGTTTCCTTTTTACCCCTAAAATGAAAAGGATACAAATGAAGCCATCTCTGGTGAAGGTGGTGGTGATGGTGCTCAGGGGCCATATTGGTCTTACCGCACCATGTTCTACCACATTTTTAATAGCTTAACTGAGACCTTCAGTTGTACCATTGGCCTCAGAAGCCCTAGGGGTTGTATTTGACCTCGGGCCTCACTTTGCTCAACCCAGCAGCCCCCAGGGGAAGAACATATGATTTTATATGTAATAGAATTGTTGGTCTAGGGTAATCTAGTGGTCATTTTTTAAAGAATATTCCCTCAGTTAGCATCTATGCTTCCATAAGTACCCCATTCCCTTCAGAACAGGTCTCAAAATGACAGCCTAAAGTCTACATCCAGTAAACAGATGTGTGTGATAGAGTATTGATTGAAACTTTGAATTAAAAAAAAAATAGAAATCAGGAGATTTCATGTTTTAAAATAATCCAGATTTCCTGTTTCTCTGTTTAAAAAGAAAAAAAATCAGAGGGTCCAAATTCCCCTATGGCTACATTCAGCAAGAATTGTTCCCCCTTGATATAAACATGAGTGATCAAATTGCATACAGTCACCCCACCCACCTCCTTCCTCTCCTCTCAAATACTGTCCTTGTCATTCATTTACATTATGTCTGATCCCTGTGCAGGAGACAAGATCTCAACTCCTTAGCATTACTTACACCGTCCTTCATAATATGCTTTCAAACTGCCTCTCCAACCTCATCTTCCATCATCCTACAGGGAACCCATTTTCCCATAATACTAAATTAGTTGACCACTTTTCATTGTTCTGCCTTTTTACAAGCTTTTTTCTCTGTCACAAATGTCCCCAACTTGGAAACCTAATAAATTCTTCAAGAATCAGTTCACATATTCCCTCTCATATGGCTGCACAACCCACTCCAGACTTTCCTTTATGCTTTCATTGCACCCCAAGCATAGCTCAGTGATATCACTTATTATGTTGTATTCTTAATTTTTTACATGGCTTTCTTTCCACTAATTTATGAGCCCCTTGATGGTAAGAAACACATCCTTTTCATTTTGATATTACCAGTACCTAGTAGAGATAATGTGGAATGAGGAATATCATTGCTGATAGCAGATGGATCCTGGCTGAAAGCAAAGAATATCAAGAAGATGTTTATCTGTGTTTTTTCAACTATGCAAAGGGATTCAACTGTGTGGATCATAACAAATTATGGATAACACTGTGAAGAATGTGAATTCCGGAACACTTAACTGTGTTCATGAGGAACCTGTACATAGACCAAGAAGCAGTCATTGGAACAGATGCTGCATGGTTGAAAATCAGGAATGATGTCCATCAGCTTTGTATTCCTCCACTGTATTTATTCAATCTATATGCTGAGCAAATAATCCAAGAAGCTGGATTTTGTGAAGAAGAACATGGCATCAGGGAAACTTGTTAACAACCTGTGATACGCAAATGACAAAACTCTGCTTGCTGAAAGCGAAAAGGACTTGATGCACTTACTGATGACGATCAAAGACTACACCTTACCTTCAGTATGGATTACACCTCAGCATAAAGAAAACAAATATCCTCACAACTGGAACAATAAGCAACATCATGATAAATGGGGAAAAGATTTAAATTGTCAGAGATTTCATTATACTTGGATCCACAATCAACACCCATAGAAGCGGCAGTCAGGCAAATCTGCTGCAAAACAACTCTTTAAAGTGTTAAAGAGCAAAGATGTCACTTTAAAGACTAAGGTGTAACTGACAGTTTTAGTCCTCTAGTGCTGCTATCACAGAAATACCACAAGTGGATGGTTTTAACAAATAGAAATTTATTCTCTTACAGTTTGGGTGGCTAGAAGTCTGAATTCAGAATGGCCGCTCTAGGGAAAGACTGGGCTAGAACTCTGATTTCAGAGTGCTGGCTGCAGGGGAATATTAGGTTAAAAGTCCAAGTTTAGAATGCAGCTCTAGGGACTAGGTGGAGGCTGCTTGACCTTGGGCTTCATCTCTGCATTCCCAGCCCATTGGAACAAGCTGGAGACATCTCCTGACTGACACAGCTGCTGGCTGCTAAAGCTGACGAATCCAAGATTAGCAGGCAAAATGGCAGATTGTTGGCTCACAGGCTGCAAAGGCAACAATCCCAAGATCAGCAGGCAACACAACCAGACACTGGTTCAAGTACAGAAACTGAAAAATGAATGACAGGACAAAGGCAGGATCCAAAATTAGCAAAAACAAGGTTATGGTCATTGCTTGGTCACAGCTAGCTACCCAGAGGGACCAAGTAGTTGATCCTGCGGGCTTGGGACCATAGTCACAGGGGACATCAAGCTCAATTGGCATAACATACTATACAAAACATTGTTCCACCTCCTACTTTGGCGAGTAGCGA